TAGATTTCTTCAGTGTATCTGAAACCTATAAATNTAACACCATTTTTCCAGACATGCTCACTTTTTCTGTAGACTTCTTCATTAGAACAATCAGGCACAGAAAAGTAGAGCAGATAGTATTGTATTCACGAGCAGAGAACCATGGAATTGTACCCACGGAAGCATTTTATTAATGTAGTTTCAATTTGTATATAAAATAGACATATAGTTTATGTATAGAGATGTATAGAAATATCTTTACTTGACTGTATAACATGAAATTATAGTAACATCATTGTTAACATTATAGTAACATCATTATAGTCATATCATTGTTAACATTTTAGTAACAGCATTATAGTAACATCATTTTTAACATTATAGTAACCTCACTGTTAACATTATAGTAACATCATTGTTAACATTATAGTTACATCATTGTTAACATTATAGTAACATCATTTTTAACATTATAGTCATATCATTGTTAACATTATAGTAACATCATTGTTAACATTATAGTTACATCATTGTTAACATTATAGTAACATCATTGTTAACATTATAGTAACATCATTTTTAACATTATAGTAACATCATTTTTAACATTATAGTTACATCATTGTTAACATTATAGTTACATCATTGTTATTGTAACAACATTGTTGTAGTAACACCATTGTTAACATTATTGTTATCATTATAGTAACATCATTGTTAACAATATAGTGACACCATCGATAAATCATTGTATTGGAACTTCACTGAATTCTCATAAATTTAAATGATCACACCAATTTCATCATAATCGGATGAAGACGATAGGGCAATAACTCAAATATGTTAATCGAATAATCATCAAATATAAATCAGTCTAACATCTTATCGATATATTATCACTCACAAAAATCATTAAAATCAAATGAAAACTGTAGTCTGTATTGTGCTCACATACAAATTTTGATGAGTTTTTACGAAGTCAACGTTCATCGAAATATTGTTAAATTTAAAACAGTCCATGATCTCATCAATGTAAATCATCACATCAAATTTCATTAAAATCGGATGAAAACTATAGTGTTTATTGCACTTACTGATGTGGGCAATAACTCAAAAATTCTCCAAATTCGAACTTGCCTGAGATCTCATGAATATAAATTATCACACTAAATCTAATTCAAATTGGATGAAGATTGTAGTCTCTATTGTACTAACAAACAAATTTGGGTGCGTTTTAATGAAGTCAGGGGCAATAATTCAAAAATCTTTCATCGAAAAATTGTCAAATTCAAACTTGACCAAGATCAAACTGTCACCTCTATAGGGTACTGGTACACAAGAAATATTGACGGACCAACAGACAGGGGCAACAACAATATACGTCCACATTTCCCTGGGCATATAAAAATGTTGAAAACCCCTGACCTAGGCTAATGAAGATGCAGTGAATCCAAAATATTCCATTAAATAGAAGACACATAAACCATTTAACCATGTATATAACAAGTTAACAGTGATTAATCACATGATTATACTCAACATTTCAACACCAACAGAAAATTCACAAAATTCTGCTTCGATGTGCAAATAAAACTCATTTACTAAATTTGTAAAAAAGTAACCTGAATCAAAATCAAAGAAATGTTATCAGCGCCAACAACCTAGCTTCCTTGATCATTTGAACTTTAAGACCTAAACATTTTCATCAAGCTTACCTATTAAATGTCAGTCACAGCAGAATTTCTCTTGAAATTGTTTCTTGTTTACACAAACACTGGTTTAAATGAGATACAAGTAAATAGCTCTGAACGCAGTAGTTAATGTTATTTCCCTTTTAAGTCACCAAATAATTGTCAGGCCCACGCCAGTAAACATAATTGACCTATATCTATCCACAATGTTTGCCATATTTGAAATGTACATCATCATCAGTTTTTACACATTTTTTTAACTTATCTGAACCGAGGATATATATATTCAGACAATTGAGCCAAAGAAGATGACATACTTATGTTTTTGGACAGCACTGAAACAGGACATAATTCTTTTTTAAACTAGGATGAATTGACAAAAAAAAAAAAAAAAAATTTCATGAAATTTTATCATGCTGTTTAAGAAGATGTTATTAGTGAAAAGGCCAAATAATAGACATCTAACATCATCTGTAGAAGTCAAGCTGATAAGGCCTATATTCAAAAAGTAAGAATGTAGTTATCAGTATCATTTCTACAAGAAGAAAAATTCACCACTGGTCAGTGGTCAGTTCCAATTATATTGCCAATTCCACCTTTTATGTTGTACAGTCAAAAGTCAAATTTCACACAAAACCAATTGCACCAATTGAGTTCAAGTTTTCCCTGATATATTTTCATAAGAAATCACATGATTATAGTACCATATGATTTGTATAATAAGGTACCTGGACACAAATGATATAAAATATACTGTTATATGTTAACTGTAGAATAACCAACTAACTGATGTTACTGGTTGGCTTGGGTCACACTTTCAACAAAAAGGAACAACAGGCCTCATAATTACAATAGTATAGAATTTCAAAACCCCTCAGAATCTGCCTAAATAGAACTAACCATGACAGGCATATAGTAATTCGAACTCTGTATTTGTCATGACAGGTTTTTTGTCATTTGCACGTACCACACATTCCTATCTAACTAAGGATGGGTCATGAAACACTGACGTTAAAAAAGGAGAGCATGGCCAGAATTAGTAACAAGGGCCTTTAAGTCGCTTATCATTACTCTCTTGTTTGTTTTGTATTTGTTGCTGGTGAGAAACCTCCCTTTGTAAATTCAGAATTTCTCTCGGGATAGCGTCTAAATTTCATTAATTCATCACACCTCCCCAAATTCTCTTTTATAACTGGCTTTTAATCATATCAGATGAATATAATTTGAATGAAAAATACAAGCTTTAGTTTTCATCTTTCATGGAAAATAAGTTACATTTTTGGTTTGAACATTTAACTCAATATTTAATACAAGATATTTTTTTATGTTCTTTATGTGTATCAGGGACATCGATAGCATCGATTTGTACCATTCCAATTTTCAGACAATTCTAACTAAAAGTAAGAATAGAACAATGGGTGTAACATAAAACATACTGAAAGTAAGAATAGAACAATCAATGTAACATCAAACATATTGAAAGTAAGAATAGAACAATCAATGTAACATCAAACATACTGAAAGTAAGAATAGAACAATGGGTGTAACATCAAACATACTGAAAGTAAGAATAGAACAATCAATGTAACATCAAACATACTGAAAGTAAGAATAGAACAATCAATGTAACATCAAACATACTGAAAGTAAGAATAGAACAATCAATGTAACATCAAACATATTAAAAGTAAGAATAGAACAATGGGTGTAACATCAAACATACTGAAAGTAAGAATAGAACAATGGGTGTAACATCAAACGTACTGAAAGTAAGAATAGAACAATCAATGTAACATCAAACATATTGAAAGTAAGAATAGAACAATCAATGTAACATCAAACATATTGAACGTAAGAATAGAACAATCAATGTAACATCAAACATACTAAAAGTAAGAATAGAACAATGGGTGTAACATCAAACATAATGAAAGTAAGAATAGAACAATCAATATAACATCAAACATACTGAAAGTAGAAATAGAACAATCAGTGTAGCATCAAACATATTGAAAGTAAGAATAGAACAATCAATGTAACATCAAACATATTGAAAGTAAGAATAGAACAATCAATGTAACATCAAACATACTAAAAGTAAGAATAGAACAATGGGTGTAACATCAAACATACTGAAAGTAAGAATAGAACAATCAGTGTAACATCAAACATACTGAAAGTAAGAATAGAACAATCAGTGTAACATCAAACATACTGAAAGTAAGAATAGAACAATCAATGTAACATCAAACACAATGAAAGTAAGAATAGAAAATCAGTGCAGCATCAAACATACTGAAAGTAAGAATAGAACAATCAATGTAACATCAAACATACTGAAAGTAAGAAAAGAACAATCAATGTAACATCAAACATACTGAAAGTAAGAATAGAACAATCAGTGTAGCATCAAACATACTGAAAGTAAGAATAGAACAATCAGTGTAACATCAAACATATTGAAAGTAAGAATAGAACAATCAATGTAGCATCAAACATACTGAAAGTAAGAAAAGAACAATCAATGTAACATCAAACATACCGGTACTGAAAGTTAGAATAGAACAATCAGTGTAGCATCAAACATACTGAAAGTAAGAATACAACAATCAGTGTAACATCAAACATACTGAAAGTAAGAATAGAACATCAAACATAATTAGCCCTATGGAGGTTTCTAAGCTCTAACTAGAGGGTGGGATCAGAAATTACAAATTACATTATAAGCACACCCTGCCTTCCTGCAAGTATCAGCCATATTAACTATTGGAATGCATCATATATTAGACAACGTCTATTGAATGATAAAGTTTTGTAAATATCTGTTAACGCCAATATTTGAATATTGTAATTCCTATTCCAAACCTGAAATTAAAATCTCATGAAAATTTCATATATTGATAATCTTACCAGAAACTGAAATTTAAGTCAACCACTCCCTAAATTCCATTCATTTTATAGCTCAGTCTTCCTTAATCAGACAAAAACTAGTACAGAAAGTTTTTATACTATATCCTTCATATAAACTCATACATAGGACAATTCATAAACTTTTACATGACATTACCTAGGCAACCAAATGCTGAAGCAAACACAAGGCAAACTAAATTTGTTCATTTTCAAACCTGACGTGTCACAGACAATGGGCTTTATTTTGAACCAATTATTTAACAATTGAGTTCTTTATACCCACATGTTGACACCACTTGACCCCCTTCTTACAATCTGAAGTGGATGAATAAAATAAACTTAAAGAATAAATGATTTAAAGGTATGGTCAGTTAATTCAAAAAATGAAAAATGGTAATCTTTACAATAGACATATAATATATATAATATACATGCATATAATGTGCTAATGGGCCTCGAGACTACTAGAGAAATGACATGAAGGCCTGACACAAACTATAAACTGATACCTGCACTAATAAGCTACTTTGACATACAGACTAGGGTAAAACTACTGTCTTACTGTTCTCTTCTCTGAAATTTAATCATAGGATGCCCTCAAGTTCTATCTTGTTCATTATTCACCTTTATCAAAACAAATACCTGGTTTCACCTTTTTTTCCCAGAAATATGAGTGTATTTACTACACTGGTTCCAAGGCAATAGAGAAACTACCATTTGTACAAAGAACAACGATGACTTCACAGTTCCCTCTTTCTTTCTCACATGAGGTATTTGGTCCAACCTCTTGACATTGTATTGTTCTTTGATTTGTATCTATTTACAGCTGGGTCAATGAGAAAAATGAGGAAATACGATTTATTTTTACA